TGTATATGTATATATGTATATATATGTATGTAATGCACAGTCACATGCAAGTTTTAAAAATATTTTATTGACCCTTAAGAAAAAAATTCAAGTAAGAGTTGACTGATTGTTAAATGATTGTTAGACAAAACTAGCTAACATCAATATATTTATTGATGACAGTGTGCTCATGCCTCTATTGACAGTGTCATGAAATTTACAATAGCTTTTTACCATACATGAACACTGGAGGGCGCTGTTGCCCCACTAGCTGTTAAAAGATGCGTATTGTCTATTGTGAAACTAAACAATCTTCCAGAGCAATAATGGCACAAAATAAAGTGCCATTTTTGCAGTGACATAAAAATCTACAAAGGCTGCTAATGACCAAAAAACTTTTTTTTTTACAAAAAAAAAGTAAATAAAATAACTTAAAGAAAAAATGTTAGCTAATAATAATTTTCAAATATGTTTTTGTATACTGATTTATAAAACATTAAAAAAATAAAATGTTTCAATTAATCATTTAAAACTAAAAGTGATGAAAACAACTGTAAAGCTGTTCAAAAATAATTTGTTGTATGTGCAAAAATGTATAATTACCTAGCAGTACAATACTCAAACATCACCAAAAAAATAAACAAATTACAAAAAATACAAACTGGTTTGGGTCTATTGTGACATTTTATTTGATTTAAGAAATTTTCAAATTTTTCTACATTTTCTCAGTTTTGAAATCAAAAGATGCCTTTAAAAAAAAATCATTTCAAGAGTTAATTTCATTTAATTTAATTGACCAATGGAAAATTAAGGTAAAAAGGTTAAATCAGATCTGCTGAAACAGTCGCCTAAGCCATCTCAACTGACAGTATCTTGTATCAATCAACCATTAATCATCTCACCATGACAGCCAGGTCACACATGTTGAGCTGCGGCATTCCAGGGATCAAATCCGTCTGATGCTGCTCCACTACTGCGGTTACCTGTCTAAGAACATCCCGGTACTCCTTACTTTAAGGCAAATGAGAAAGGGAGAGGTCAGGAAAGAGATATGTACTTGAAACATATATGTCTGATAGATATGAGAGATATTTACTTTTCTTTTCACAATGGTTAGTTATTTACAAGATGCTTAATTTTATTAATGCTAAATATAGAAGATATATTTAGAATTTCTTTATTTAGATTTTGGGGTGAAACCAACCCTGACAATGTTCTTGACAGGTTTTGTGAGACCATATACTTGTACCATGATGTTTACATGTTACTCCAAGAATACCATAGTACTATAACTCTATACTAACACATATCCAAAAAAAAAACATTTTACAGTTAATTTACAGCCAATTACTCTCCTACTTCAAAACAATAGCTGATATTTGCTCTCGGGTAACTGTTTACATCAACTGCATCATCGTCTTCTTCAATTAATCTTCACAGCCTCATCTTAGCATGGAATATAAAATAGTTTTAATTAATTATTCGCTTATGCATGGTTATTACAAGATAATGCTTGGAAAAATATGTGACAGACAGGCAGTCCCACCATAAAACACACGCACGCACAGGTCCCCGAGGGCTGCCGTTTCCACAGAAGCGGTCATGTGTCCTCTCATTATTTGTGTTGGACAGCATCCCGCACCCCTGCGTAGTGTGCAGGGACCCTGATGGTTTCAAAGGAACACTGTTCTCAATGGGACCTGTAGGCTTAATGGGCTTCAGAGAATGTGTGTCTGTGCGAGAAACACACAGAGACAAATATCACTACTGCAATTACGGCCGTAATACAAAGGCAGGCAGCACCTGTGTCAGGCCTGTCCCTTGCGCTCAAAGGCAGCCTTCTGATTGGCCCCTGGGGAAGGGGTGTGTACATGTGGGGTGAAGTGTCAATTAGTGTAATTACCCTGGGCGCTGTCCGACTCACACCTCCAGTCTCTACACTTCTGCCTTCCCCCGGGAGAATCGGGCATGAGCCGCACGCTAACATCTGCTCCCCTCTCGCTCAGCCTGGACCAACAGTCTTCACCCCGAACGACCATTCCCCAAAACCCTGACACACATTACTTCACGTCCTACAGGCTTTTCATCAGCAGTTAAGAGGTTTCGTCTAGTGGTTGACCAATATCAATGACTGATTGGAATATAACTGCAATAGAGTGCTGCAGGGATGCAGAACCTGAAATCGAAGTATAGGATTTTAGTACTTTCAGTTCCATTGTCTGGAAATCAATGGTTTTTTGGTTAAAAATAAAGTGAAAATAAGGTCTGTGGTTAACACAATCTCAAGATATTTTCACGTTTTATTCTACGACATAAAATACATCAATAACACACCCTTGTGATTTTTTTTTTAAGCATTTACTTGTCTCAAAAAAGGTCATTAAGAAGTGGCTAAATGGGACTACAGGGGCTGTTGGGGACATTAAAAATCATCACAATGAACAGGTAAACGTATCTAATCACTAGTCTGCTTTCACAGACTCATTATGGGATGGTGCGTTCAAGTCATGTCGGATAGATTGTATTTACGAGTTGAACGCACATGAACGCCACCACAAAGTCGTTATTACGAGTGGGAAACTCGAAATTTTCTTTAAGCCCCGAGTTTCCGAGTTGGGGGCGTGTCAATGAGAAACATGCGGAATCGATGGATGCAACGTCTGTAGTTGACGGTAAATTTTTGTTTAAATTGATAGTTTAGTAGTCCTATAAACTTAAATTGGTCATGTTCTTGTTACACAGCTAGTTAATGAAATCCAAGTAAAAAAATGCTATCATTTTTGCACCTATAGATGAAAAATCTTTTGATTTGCCATGTTGCATGTTTTAAAAATATTAAAAACGCAAAACACACCTGATACGAGTTATTTGCTCTTCATTTTCTATAAGCAGAGTTAACAGACCCTGTTGTATTTTCTTGTAATTTATTAAAAGAAGGTACACCGCCATCTTGTGCCGACTAAACTGACTTGAACGCACCTGATGTCGTAATTACGATTTGTCAACTCGTAAGTACGAACGTCCCAGGAGGACTTGAACGCAGCATTACTCTTGCAAACTATTCTAAACCAAGCTTTCAAAAAATTGTTTTTTAAAGTCTGAAAGAGTTGTCTAAGCTTGATGGACCTTAGTCAGGCTAGCACTGTGTTTAATTTTTGACAGGAATAAAAATGAGTCTGTGGAGGATAGAAGTACAGTGCGGTCAATAGATTGTATTGTTGTTTAACAACATACCGATTGTTCAACTGACAAAACATATTCACGAAAAAATTACTAAATAAATCAGTAGACAAAAACTCCATAAAACAGTCTGAAAGTTGATAGTTCTAACCTTTGTACAGTGCATGCCATTGTCAAGACTGCAAGTCTATCCCTCACAGCTTCGTTTTCATTTACATTTAATTCAGTATGGCATCTAACCTGACTAAAGGTCTATGGTGGTGACTCATGCGACTGAAGACTGAAGGCTATTGTATTTAGGATCCAAAAAGTTGTTTATTTATTTTAAAAAAATATCCTGATGAACAACATGTAACTTTCAGAAACTTTGGTTTGGTCAACCAAAAGCCAATGGAAACATCCTGTTGGGTTTTTGTCAAAAGAATCAGGGCAATGCTAAATTCTGAGCTGGTCTACAAAAATGTGTCACTCTGCAACATTCTATTAAAACTGGAGGACTGCCAATTTCAGATCATTTCAAGTCTGGAATTTAAATAACTGCATACTTATAATTTAAACTGATAAAAAAAAATGAGGTCTAGTAAATTCTAGTAGTATCAGTTTGTTTTGGTGGGCCTTATAATATATTACACATTATAACCATGAATTTCAAATCACATCCGTTCGAGGGGTTCTGCGCCAGGGATTGGCTGCTTTAACTTTATGTAACTTTACGTAATTTAAGCCTTAACCTAGTTGTAGGGTAATTGAGCATTAAGTTACAACTTATGCAGTTCTAAATATTTGACTGTTGTACCTTTAAAATAAGTTCAAACATAATGCTACATCAACCAAATATTTACACCAGCCACCAACCAGGAATAATGGTTGAAACAAACTAGCAGACCTATTGGATTACATAACTGAGCTTATGTTTTACCTGACACACTTCAATTATTTAGACATAAATGATGATGCTGACATTTACACTCATTTACTCTTATTATTTCTATGACTAAATGACTCCGCAGCTCTCAAGCAAGAAACGGATCTATGCACATTCCCATTTGTGGGACCCTACGTCACTTGTGCATGCTAGTTTTCAACACAAAAACAGAAATCAATATTTTCTGTATTAGTACTAAAGACTCATGACTAATTTCACAAACAGTTCCAGAGTATACTATTTAATGTATACAATACAATTCCTTTAAGTCAGTGGTCACCAACCTTTTTAAGCCTAAGATCCCTTACCTCAGCTTTTATCAATGACAAGATCTACCTATTGAAGAATTGATAGAAAAAGACATCCCAGATTGTACTTCCAATTTGAGGCCTTTTATTTAGTATTTCAATTAGTGATGCATCGATCATAGCCGATTCAGTATCAGATTTTCTTTTTTTTTTAACTAGCAAATTGGCTGATTCTGACTGATTTTTTGAAGCAAATTTATTTATTGGCTATTAGCTTGCTAAAAAAACAAACTGGCCTTAAACAAATATATCTGCAACCATTTGAAATTTGAGGCAACAACTGCATTTTAATCACAATCCAAACAAAGATGCTACACACATGTTGCAAGAGCAGTTGTATTTGATTTAAATTAGATTGTATAATTTCAGGATTTAAAACAAAAACAGAATGGGTTTGACTTTAGGTTTTATTTATTTTATTTTTTTTGCTACATAAAACCATAGACTGTATAAAATAAAACACATCTGCATGAAACAAAAACAGCAGGTCTGAATGAGGCGCAAATTCATTCTCTGACAGCAGGTGGCCCTTAAGAACCAGCCCTGATATATCGTTTCTTTGGTAAGGTTACCGCTGTAAACGAAGCAGAGCTGCGCTTTATACGGAGGTAAGAGGAGAAGGAAATACCATTGCCAGCGAAACTTTTTTTCAAGACAGTTCTCTTCAGTGATACATTAACATAACCCCATACCCCCAATTCAATATTTATATTTTCTTCCTATACTTCGACCATCGTGAACACGGGCACGCACTAGGTGGGTGGGTGGGTTGCTCCCCGTGCTGGGTTGCGTCGTATCATGTGTCGACTATAGCCAGAGATATTGTCAAAAACATCAAATATTGGCAATATTAAGAGGAGTAATTTCCAATTAATGTAAGCCTGTTACATTCTTATTATTATTAGGTTACTTTTATTATTAAATTACAATTAATTTGCCCCGCAATAATTTCATAGCGCATCACCGCATAACTGACGCGCTGTGAGAATAATAAAAAAAGATTAGGCTAGCTTACTCCTCATTGAAAATGTTTTAAAACGGTATTTTAAAACTATTAATTTATACAATAAATTATAGGCCTGTAATTAAAATTATTAACACTGCAGTCATCAATGAAAATAAGAGCAGCTTTATTTCAAGCACCGACTTTCAAAAACAACCTGTTTAATGCAAAATACATTTATCTCTCTCTTTTTTTCCACTATGTACGGGCCACAAGAGAAATATTAAGGAATAATTCAAGACAGTTATATGCTGTTATCAGCATATGTTGAAGTAGATTTGTCTCTTGTCGTCTCTGAGAGAATATTGCGCCGTTAATGCAGCGTCAGATGCCGAAAGCG